AAACAAACACAAGGAAGCAGCCAAAATGTGTAGACAAAGAAACATGTCACAAATGAAAGAAATGGAAGCAAGCAAATTACTGGATACAGAGTTCAAAACAATGATTATAAGGTTGCTCAAGAATCTTAATGAGCGATTCAAGGGACTTAATGAGAGCTTCAATGGACTTAGTAAGACTTTCAAGGATCTTAGTGAGAATGTCAAAAACATGAAAAAGGACTAGTCAGAAATTAAGCATACGCTAACTGAAATAACGAATAATTTACAGGAATTCAGCAATAGAGTAAAGGATTCCGAGAATTATATCAATGATTTGGAATATGAGGAAACAAAAAACACCTAATCCAAAAATATGAAGATAGTATAAGGAGCCTCTGGGACAACTTCAAGGGTACCAACATTTGCATTAAAGGGGTGCCAGAAGGAGAAGAGAGAGAGCAAGGTATTGAAAACCTATTTGAAGAAATAATGACAAAAAACTTACCCTACCTGGTGAAAGAAATAGACTTACAAGTCCAGGAAGTGCAGAGACTCCCAAACAAGAGGAACCCAAAGGGGCCCACACGAAGACACATCATAATTAAAATGCCAAGGGCAAAACACATAGAGAGAATCTTAAAAGCAGCAAAAGTAAAGCAGTTAGTTACCTACAAGAGAGCACCAATACGACTTCCAGTTGATTCCTCACCAGAAACTTTGTAGACCAGAAGGGAGTGGCAAGAAATATTCAAAGTGATGAATATCAAGGAATACAACCAAGATTACTCTTTCCAGCAAAAGTATCATTTAGAATTGAAGGTCAGATAAAGAGCTTCACAGACAAGAAAAAGCTAAAGGAGCTCATCACCACCAAACCAGTATTGCATGAAATGTTGAAGGGAATTCTTTAAGAAGAGAAAGAAGAAGAAGATAAAGAAAAAGATAAAAAAAATATATGAACAATAAAATGGCAATAAATGCATATCTATCAATAATTGCATCTAGAAATCAAAAGAAACAAACAAGTAATCTAATGAACAAAATAAACTGGTGAATAAAATAGAATCAGAGGCATGGAAAATGGAACAGACTGATGAATCTCAGAGGGAAGGGGTTGGGAGGGGCAGACATTAACTAAGGGATAAACTAAAGATCTTATATGCATACTAGAGGCCTGGTGCATCAAATTCATGCACCGGGCAGTGGGGTGGGGGGAGGATGCCTCAGCCTGGCCTGCACCCTCTGGCAGTCTGGGAGCCCTCAGGGAATGTCTGACTAATGTTTTAGGCCCACTCCCCTCTGCCCCCGTGGAGTGGGCCTAAGCCGTTAGTCGGACATCTTTAGCAAGGCCATGGAGGCAAGAGAGGCTCCCACTACCGCCACTGGGCTCACCAGCCATGAGCCCGGCTTCAGGCGCTCCGCCTGTAGGAGAGTACTGACTACCAGGGGGCAGCTCCTGCATTGAGCGTCTGGCCCCTGGTGGTCAGTGCGCATCATAGCAACTGTCATTCTGCCGTTCGGTTGATTTGCATATTAGCCTTTTATTATATAGGATTATATAGGATATGCATTACCTATGGACAAAGACAATAGGGTGGTGAAGGTCTGGGATGGGGTGGGTAAGGGGTGGAAAAGAGGGACATCTGTAATACTCTCAACAATAAAAGTTTTTTAAACAATCAAGTACAGCACAGGGAATATCGTCAATAATATTGTAATAGCCATGTGTGATGTCAGGTGGGCACTGGAAATATCCAGAGGAACACTTTGTAAAGTATATGATTGTCTAACCACTATGTTGTATACCTGAAACTAATACAAAATAATAATGAATGTAAACTGTAATTTTAAAAAACTTGAAATTAAAAATATGGGCAAAGAACTTAGACATTTCTCCAAAGAAGATACACAAATGGCCAATAAGCACATGAAAAGATGCTCAGCATGACTAATTATTATGGAAATGCAAATCAAACTTACCGTGAGATACCCCTACACACTCATGAGTATGACTATTAAAAACAAAACAGAACAGAAAATAACAGTGTTGGCAAGGATTTGAAGAAATTGAAACCCTTGTGCACGGTTGGTGGAAATATGAAAAAGTGCAGCTACCATGTAAAGCAGTATGGTGGTTCCTTAAAAAACTCAACATAAAATTAGCATATGATTCAGTAATACCATGTTTAACTATACAATTTAATACCATTTTTCAGTATACTGAAAACAGAGACTTAAACAGATATTTGCACACCCATGTTCATAGCAACATGAGTAGCAATAGCCAAAAGGTAGAAACATCTCAAGTGGTCATTTATTGAGGAACAGATAAACAACATATGGTATAGACATACAATGGAATTTTATTCAGTCTTGAAAAGTAAGGAAATTCAGCCCTGGTGGGGTAGCATACTTTGTTAGAGTATCATCCCCATACACCAAGGTTACAGATTTCATGCTTGGCCAGGACACATACAAGAATCAACCAATGAAGAAGAAATAAGTGGAACAAAGAGGTGTATCTCCTTCTCTTTCTCTCTTGCAAAGAAAAACATTAAGGAAATTCTGACACATGATATGACATAAATGAACCTTGAAGACATATGCTAAGTGAAGTAAGCCAGTCACAAAAAAACACAAATATTTTGACTGCACTTATATTACATTATTATAGAGTAGCCAGATTCATAGAGGCAGACAGTAGAATGGCAGTAGACCTGGTGGGGCTGGGAGTTAGTATATAATGGGTATAATGATAGTATGGGAAGATGAAAACGTTCTAGAGATCGATGGTGGTGATGACTGCATAACAATGTGAATGTACTTAATGCCACTGAACTGTACACTAAATGGTAAATTTTATGTCTATCTTACCACAATTAAAAAATAAGACAAATATTTTAATCTCCCACTTCTCCCTAGAGAACCCAAAATATCCCATCTAGTTAGGTTGTATGACCTCTGAGAAAAGTTTGTTGGTACAACAAATAAGCAGAGGGATCACTGAGTTTATGAGTAGCCATTTACCTTGTAAATGAAGTAACAAGTACATGCTCAGCTGCTGTCAGCACTTCTCTCACACAGCAAGTTATCTTGCTGTCAGAATTGTTCCATTAATGAATTATTTATTCAAAATATCATTAAATAAGTACTACAGGATTGTATGTCCATGAGTCATAAAGGTTAAAGTGGGTGTGCTAAACAAAGAAAACTGATTACTAATTCATTTATTTTACTAAGACTTAGATAGCACTTTTATGCAAACTACCAAACTGCACCTATAAAATAACAGAAATGTCAAACTAAACAGATACATTTTAAATATATATATATATATATATATTAGAGAGAAAGGGAGAGAGAGATAGAAACATCAATGATGAGAAAGAATCATTTATTAGCTGCCTCCTGCACACACCCTACCAGAGACCGTGGGGTAAGAAAGGACCCCCATATCTGGGAAAGAACTCCCAGTCAAAAAGTGTTATTGTTAACGACAAACACATAAAGGCCAGAGTTCAGTTTATAGTCAAGGAAGTGTTTCTCTATTTTTTCTCTGTAATGAGGATATCATATTAAGCATATTCAATTACCCAGGCATGTGCCCTGACTGGGAATCGAATGTTGACCTCCTGGTTCATAGGTCGACACTCAACCACTGAGGCACACTATCCGGGCAAGCGATACATTTTTATTACTTCCTCTATTTCAATGTTCAAAATAAGCAGAATATCCCAATAACTGCTTAATTTCTGTCTTGAAAAGACTCTAGGCACTGCTTACAAAACCCTATAAAAGTTATTTTTAAGTGATGTTATAGAAATCATACCATCTTCATACAATGCCCTAATGACAAATATATGGTGCCCAAAAGAAAGACAAGACCAAGATTAAGGCATGCCCCATGAGCCTAATTCAGCCACTGTGCAGACTGTATTCTGAAGGTTTGAGTCATCCTGGAGCCAGCTATACATGAAGAAGAGGAGGGGTTCAGAGATTTGTAGAATTCATAGCAATGATTTGTAAGTCATAAGCTTCCTGAGAGCTTTACTTTTTATTTTTGAAGAGCTTTACATTTTAATCTTAAATCTTTTCTCTTTGTATTGGTCTCTGAAACTCATTCCACATTGCATTTCACCTGCATTAGTTTTCATTATTATTCATTAGGTTTGTAAGAAGAATAGGCACAAAACTGCTTATTCTATCCTCCATGGTCTACCACCTCACTGCTTTCCGTAGACTGCACTAAACAAAGGCCTACTGAAGAAGGGCAAGGGTGCTGGTTTCAGTATCCCCATGTCTACGGACTGCTCAGTTTGCATGTGCTTACAGATTAGAGCCAAATATGGTATTTATATTCTCCTGGTTTGTCACAGGTTTCTAAGAGCAAAATGCAGAAGAAACGCAATCAAACAGAGTATGAGGAAATTTGGGGGGGAGAAAAATACAAAGCTGTTCAAATGATAGTATCATAAAGACAAAACATTGAATGGCTTTAAAAAGTGAAAGAAGAAAAATAAGACACAATGACCTTTAAAAATGACACTAAGATTTTTAAATTATGCATAAGGGAGCAGGAAAATAGGCCCTATGGCCTTTAATAAGAATATTAAGATTTTTAAATATTCTAAATGAAGTCAAAAAGTGTTATTGTTAATGAAAAACACATAAAGGCCAAAGTTCAGTTTATAGACAAGGAAGTATTTCTCTATTTTTTTTTGTAATGAGGATATCATGTTAAGCATATTCAATTACACTGTCATTCATTAACCTGGATTATTCTCTGCAAAGAAATGATCAAAGAATTGAAAGTACAATTGTCCTAGAAATTCAAGCCTAGTTTCAGTTTATCTTTCAGAAAGAAAAAAAGAATCCAGTGAAACTTAGATGAAAAGAAAAAAAAAGGAATACATCTCAGGGTAAATGGGTGGTGGTAGAAGCAATAAAAGGTACTGTTCAATTCTTGGAAGTCTGATACCAAGCAGAAGAATAACATCACATGGAGTTTTTCTCAAGCATACCTATTTTATTAAATGCTTCTTGTAGTTCCTCCAGCTCCTCCCGAGAAATGGTAGTGGTACTATTTTCCATCTTCACAGGAAAGACTTCCCTCAGGTCTTTATACCTAAAAAAAAAAAGAAAGAAAATAAAAATAAAAAGCAATGTTATAAAAAGAGCCTTTTACAAACATTTATCTAAGCAAATACAGAGTCCACAGGCAGTAAAATATCTAAAAGGAATCACGTGAGAGGTCTGGCTGACAAGGAAGAAATAGAAATGGATCCCAGGGTAACAAATACCTGTTTTTCACACCCTGTGCTAGTTCTTAATAGACCGCATCATTTTCATGTACATTTTACCCCACTATTTCAGTAAAATATGCACTTCAAGTTTGAGATAAGTGTAACATTTGTAAACATAAAGAAAGAGATCAGAAAGTAAAATTTTAATACATGAGCCATGTCCACAAATAGAATTTTACAGTAAGAGGAGTCTGCATGTCTGGAGATGGAGCTGTGGCTTTCATGGTCAGCTTTACAATATGCGGCCACTGCCACCAACTCTCTCTTCCCCAGGGGAGATGTCTTTCCCAGATATGGGGGTCCTTTCTTACTCTGAGCAAGTGATACAAACTAAAGGGGGAAAATCCAGTAAAACTGAGTTGTAACAAAAACAAACAGGTGGTAGTCATTGTAGAAAGTAATTGGTAACATATGACCCAAACAGAAAATAGCTTTGGTGGTAGTGAGCACAGCTGCTTTCCAAAACATAATTAAAATTACCCATAATCCCACTATCCAGAAACATCAACTGGTATCACTTTATTATCTATATCTATCTGTTGTACTTTCAAGTACATGAATACCTTTTTAAGGGGTGAAATATGTTAGTATATTATATTTTTGCATGAATATGTTTCCATGTTATTTATCAATGTTGTATGTTGTATGTTTCCATGTTATTTATCAATACAACTAGAGGCCCACTGCATGACATTCGTGCACTGGGGGGTGTGGGGGTCCCTCAGCCTGACCTGCACCTTCTCCAATCTGGGAGCCCTCAGGAGAGCCATCTCCAATCCAGGAGTTTTGTCTGTCTTTGCAATCATATGAGCGAATTGTCTGAGACCCCCAACCAAGTTTGGTTTGTTGCTCACAGAATAATAGAGGCATTTTTTTTTTCTTTGCTTTATTGGTGGAGATTTCCTGGAAGTTTTAGGATATCTTCCCTTTAATTTTTCCTAGACACTCTGATTTTACTTATGTCTCTCACCTTTGCTTTTCCTCCAGCCCCTACCGCAACAGTAACTTGCTCCAGGTTCACTTTCCTAGTGTCTAGGACAGTGGTTCTCAACCTTGGCTGCACATTAGAATCACCTGGGAATCTTTTTGAAATCCTGATTTCTGGGCCTCATCCTCTGGAAATTCTGTTTCTTTGTTATGGGGTGAGGCCACAACATTAGTAACAAAGAAACAGAATTTCCGGAGGATGAGGCCCAGAAATCAGGATTTTAAAAAGATTCCCAGGTGATTCTAATATGCAGCCAAGGTTAAGAACCACTGGTCTAGGAGATCCGTCTTCCACCAGAACTACAATTCCCAGCATTCCTGGTGCTCCCCGTGCTCTTTGTTTTCCCTTCCTGCTCTGTCTTTGTCCCATGGCCTCCCACTCTCCCAAGTCCTCCAAGCCACCAGCTCTCCCTCTCTGCTCTCCGTCTGGTGGCTTGGGGAGCCAAGTTCCCCAAGCCACCCAACTCTCTGCCGGCTCTCCCACTCTGCTCTCCACCCAGCAGTTTGGGGGGAGCGACCAAGGGAGCCACGTCCCCCCAAGCTGCCAGCTCTCCTGCTCTGCTCTCCGCCTGGCGCCTGTGCATGCAAATTAACCTGCCATCTTTGTCAGGTTAATTTGCATACTCACTTCTGATGGGCTGGTGAGCATAGTGGAGGGACGGTCAATTTACATGCTTCTCTTTTCTTATATAGGATATTTAATGGTCACATATTACTATATCATAACATATTTGGTAAATCTCTTGTTTCAGGGTATTTCATTGCTTCCAATATTTTGTTCTAAACAATGTTGCAATGAAAATGCTAATAGGTAGAGAAACTAAGATGGCGGCATAGATAAACACCGGGAAATTGCTGCCTCCCACAACAACTTCAAAAAAAACAACATAAAGACAAAACGGACATCATCCATAACTACAGGAAGGCTGGCTGAGTGGAAATTCTACAACTAGAAGGAAAGAAAAGCACACTGAGAGCCAGAGGAGCTGCGGAAGTAAAGTGCAGAGGTACGGAGGCTCACGCACGCAGAAAGGGGCTGGCACCTTAGGACGCGGCTGTCTTTTTGAATCGGGAGGGAGTCACAAGCTCCCGACTGCTCTGAACTCCAGTTCCGGGAAGTCTCTGGGGACCCAGGACTCATACGGGGAGAAACTGGACTGTCTGGCAGCGGGCAGAACTCGGAACTTGAGGTCAGCTTTCCCTCAGAGGTGCTTGCAGCAATTACTGGGACACTGAGACACACGGCTCCTGAGGGCAGGGCTGAGAATCCGCCATAGCTGCTTGCTCCGCCCTTTGATTCCCTGAGACCCCGCCCCACCCAGGCTGCAGCAGAGGCTTTTGCGTATGAATGCCCCGGCCCTTTGCAGCCTAAAAAATTACCTAACTGCAGCTGGGCCAGACAGACGCAGAACTTCCAAGAGAAGGCCCAAGGCCCCATAGCGGCTTGCATTGCTTCACAGCTGGGCCTCATCAGGGTACCTCCAAACTCCAAAAAAGGAAGGGGAATCTGCAGTTCTCTTTGTAGCTCCTGCTGTGTAACCTCAGGCAGAGGCTAAATTAGCACCTCCTTAGATCCAAGAGCCAGTGTACCCAGTGGTCAGAGGGGGACCATCCGGATTACAACTACTCAGATCCATAAGGGACAAACTCAGGGTGCAGACTCAGTGAGCACCAAAACCCCACTGAAGCAAGTCTTGCCCCAGAAGGGTGTCTTCAGCACAGAAGTTCTCCCACTGCAGACACAGCTGATTCTCACTGCCAATTGGCCTGGAGGTCAATTCCTCCCAGTGATCCTACAACAATCAAGGCATAACTACAATAAGACTGTGCAAAAAGCCCACAAAGGGGCACACCAAGAGTGTCCACCTCAGGTAACTGGGGAGGCTGAGCCACTGGGCCATACAGGACACCTAGCACACAAAGCCACTCTACCAACACAGGGAAGCATAAAAAATGCGGAGACAAAGAAACAGGTCACAAATGACAGAAATGGAGGAAAGCATATGACTGGATATAGAGTTCAAAACCACGGTTATAAGGTTTTTCAAGAATTTTATGGAAACTGCCGATAAATTTAGTGAGACCCTCGATAAATCTAGTGAGACTCTCGAGGATATGAAAAAGGACCAACTAGAAATTAAGCATACACTGACTGAAATAAAGAATAATATACAGAGATCCAACAGCAGACAAGAGGATCCCAAGAATCAAGTCAAAGATTTGAAATATGAAGAAACAAAAAAGACCCAACCAAAAAAGAAAAAAGAAAAAAGATTCCAAAAATATGAAGATAGTGTAAGGAGCCTCTGGGACAACTTCAAGTGTACCAACATCAGAATTATAGGGGTACCAGAAGAAGAGAGAGGGCAAGATATTGAAAACCTATTTGAAGTAATAATGACAGAAAACTTCCCCCACCTGGTCAAAGAAATAGACTTACAGGTCCAAGAAGCACAGAGAACCCCAAACAAAAGGAATCCAAAGAGGACCACACCAAGACACATCATAATTAAAATGCCAAGAGCAAAAGACAAAGAGAGAATCTTAAAAGCAGCAAGAGAAAGACAGTCAGTTACCTACAAGGGAGTACCCATACGACTGTCAGCTGATTTCTCAACAGAAACCATGCAAGCCAGAAGAGAGTGGCAAGAAATATTCAAATTGATGAATGCCAAGAACCTACAACCAAGATTACTTTATCCAGCAAAGCTATCATTCAGAATAGAAGGTCAGATAAAGAGCTTCACAGATAAGAAAACGCTAAAGGAGTTCATCACCACCAAACCAGCATTATATGAAATGCTGAAAGGTATTCTTTAAGAAGAGGAAGAAGAAAAAGGAACTCTTACCATTTGTCACAGCATGGATGGAACTGGAGAGTGGATAAATACCACATGATCTCACTCATTTGTGGAATATAATGAACAACATAAACTGATGAACAAGGACTGATCCAGAGACGGAGAGGCATTGATTGGACTGTCGGGCCTTGGAGGGAAGGTAGGGGAGGGTGGGGGTAAGGGGGAAAGATCAACCAAAGGACTTATATGCAAGCATATAGGCCTAACCAATGGACACGGACAATGGGGGGGTGAGGGCATGAGCGGGGGGGGGGGGGAGGTAGAGGGTAACGTGGGGATAAGGACACATATGTTATATCTTAATCAATAAAAAATATATTAAAAAAAAGAAAAAGAAAATGCTAATAGGTAAATAGTTGTACATATCCATGTTTATTTCTGTAAGATAAATATCTCAAGGTGGAATTTTGTTTTGTAATCTTCACCTGCAGATGTTTTTCTATTGATTTTTAGAGAAAGTTGAAAGGAGGACAAGAGACAGAGAGAGGGAAACATTGATGTGAGAGAGACACGTTGATTGGCTTCCACCAGCATGTGCCCTGACCAGGGCCTGGGATCAAAGTATTTTCTTAGAATTGTTGGTATTTCTATAGTGTCACTTTTCAATTCTCTCTTTGATATCTGATTTCATTTACTTGGGTCCTCTCTGGTTGTCTATGGAGAGGGAGGCCAGGAGTGCAGCTTGGGTTAGAGCTAGATCTATTACTTTTATTAAAAAGACAGATTTTTAGTAATTACGGCAAAATTTTAACATCTGTCCCATCTGAGCTTAAGTATATGGACATCAGTTAAAATTGCTATTGTACTTTTTGGTATTTTTTGTTTTAAATTATTCATAATATAAAAATTGTAAACTCAGATAGTAAAAATAATAAATAAAATAAAGATAACAAAATCGGTTTTGAATAGGAGAAAATTTATTTTCAGTACCTCAATCTTAATCAAAATAGTTAATATTATTTGGGCAGAATAAT